TTCGTCCTTTCCAGACTCGTCGGGTGTGCGTATTCCCTCTACTTTCCGTGATCCGGGACGATGGCAGCTCTGCAACAGAAATTGTCTGTTGGCCACCTCCATTCTGCGCACGTCGGAAAGGTGCATAGTATCGCGCTACAGCTCAGCTTGTCACTTTGTTGTGACGTTTGCTATTTATTCCCCGCGGCCCAATCGGTTGCTGGAGAACGAAGGGTCACTGGGCAGATGGGATACGCACTACTGATGGTTCTAGAACGGGTGAAACAGTCATTACCTAAGAGTTTCGAGCTGCATAGTGGTTGTCTGACTGAGTGTGGCCGTCGCAGACCACCTTTGAAGCCAAAATCCAATTCGTTCCTTACTCATTCAGTGTGGTAATTTTATTTCTTGCTCCATTAAAGTAAATTACAATTGCCGGTGATATTGTTTTAGAGAAATGGATAATGACAACCGGATCCGCTGCATTTTGATGCACGAGTCTTACTCGATAGACGGTGAAGTCCTCTATGTCTTTGCAAGTGGGTCGGTTAGTTGAACACACGAGGCAGCGATGCACAGGTCATTCACAAGCGTGTACAACACCTACGACCGCTTTTGTCAGTGGTTACAAGAACATACATTGTAGTCGGTGCGAAGTCGATAAGTCGCATTTCGCAAAGAAGTTGTGCGACAGTCGTATGAATTATTGAGCCGGACTGCTTGACCCCTCCTAGTGGAGCAGAATCTAATGCATGCAAACACACACCCACAGAAGTGTCGCGCTAGGTGACTGCGAACTCAATGGCTTACTGTTGCCAACTGGTGTTGTGAAGCCTTAAATCATCGGTCGGTTTGTCAGCGGTTGACATATAACTCCGTTTCGTCGGGTCTTGTTAGATGAGCGCACATGTTCGGGTGTGCACGAAGCGTTCGACGAAAACCGAGGCACGAACAAAAACACAGAGCGATGAAGAGGTGTGCTACACATTGACACCCTCAGGTTTGTTACCCCTACACGGAACAATGCTTCTAGACGAAAGAACTTAGGTACCCAAAGCGGAGTTTCAAATAACAACACACCAACGTTGACGAGAGAACAATCGGAACAACATCTCCGATTCGAGGAATAGGACTCAGTGAGGGTATAATGTATGCGAAAGTACAGAAATGTCTACTAGGTGGATAGATAACGGAGCACCAAACCACATTGATCGAGCAATGAAATCTGAAGGACCATAGTATGTGCGTCCATCATACGTTCTAGTTGTCTACGAACGATGGAGTTCAATCCCCCCCACCACAACGAGGGGGCTTAAGATGTAGGCGGTTCTCATTTATAGCAACATGAGACGCGACCGAGAGGAATGGAGGTCTGGGAAACAGCTGCTGGTGAACAAACTGGCCGGCTTAAGCTTATACTTAGTCCCTACACAAGCACATATAGATGGACTAACGCAGTCATGTGTACTTTTGCATGCACCAACAAGGTGACGCAAGATTGAGTAGATATTTCGCAACTATTCCTGATAACCTGACAAACAATAGGATAGATCGCCCAGCTCTCGTATGCAGGTAGCCGCGTTGTAGCCGGTGGGTGAATTGTTACAGGGGCTCTTGCACATGCCAACGAAGGCCCGTGACAGGATCGTCTGTACATGAAAAGCAGAACTCAAAAACCTGAGGAATGAGCAGTGCTACAGTATGGAGATGCTCCGAAGTGAATGACTTCTTGACTTGGAGTATGCTGACGATATTTCCCTCATCTGACAGCTCACAGACGTGTCAAGCAGCATTGGACAGATTAATACTAGCTGTCAGCCGTTCCGGGCTTTGCTTTGCACCCTCGAACCCTCCTGCGCCGAATCTTGGTGGGGATCAGCTAGAAGTCGCTCAGAAATTCAACTAACTAGGTGGTTGTATCAACGCTTGCGGAATCGAAGACGTGATCACAAACCATTTAGCGAAAGCACGAGGCGTTTTTGCTTATCTCCGCCACCAATGGCGTTGGCGCGAAATCACTATCAGTGAAGAGTAGAGTTTACAATGCAGCCGTACGTTCGACCCTACTGCGCGGTTGTGAAACCTGGCCCATTAGATCAACAGACATAAAGAAGCTAGTTACATTCGACCACCGGTGCTTTCGTAGTTTGCCTCATCTCTGATGGGAACATCGTGTGAGCAACGGTGTTCGACGTCTGGTTTATGGCACGGGAAAAAAGTGAATCGCTCAGCGCCGTTATTTCACGCACCACGCCTCCGATGACCGGGCCACGTGTTCAGTATGTAGCAGACCGACTCCCGCGTCATGCGTTGTTTGTGCGCAGGGGATGTGGATGAAAGAAAAGGAGAGGTCAAGCTACTACATGATCAAGAAAGTTCGAAGTTGGCCTCTCGACTCTCTGGTTGGGATCCGAAAGATGAGGAACACGTTTGGTTGGATACAATTGTTGACATGGTTAGGATACGACCTGTGGTGTTTTGAGTTGCTTTGTTCCTCCCCTACCAACCACGATCTCATGTACTAGGTATATAATTTTTGAGGCACTCTACCCAGCTGCTGGCTCTCCGGAACGATATCCATGCGCTACTGATGGCCCAACTGGAATGCCTTTCTCTTTTCTTATGTATTGCGGCACGATATTTGTGGCGTTTCCACCTATAGCTAACGTGTATATGATAAAACATAATATAGAGCAGGGGTCTGGCCAGTGTGCAATGACGGCATCCAGACTGTCAAAAGCCGACGATCAATGCCTTCGAAGCATTCCTGGTAGCTAAGTACGCGATCCAAGACAGCTAGATGCAGTGCGACCAGTGAATCCAGTTTCGAGATATGTGTTCTTTGTCTCTGATTCAGAACACGGAGGATGCAGGGAACAAAGGATACTTAGAGGAGAAATCGGTGTTCATGTCTCATCTCTAATAGACCGACTTAAATAAAACGAACATAGCGCGGCACAGTAAAAAGCTAGACGTTCGGAACTTCACCAAGCCAACTAAACTAGGGTATCGAAACAAGTTCAGTGGATAGAAGGTTGCCTACAGACACCGTTTCATCACTACAACGGGGCCATCTTCCAAACAAATGCTGATCGTCAAAGGCAGACTACCTGACCTGCTTACTACAAGTGAAACGTATGTGCTTAGATTTTTATTCACGGTGTGGCATATGGAGTAGAGTGGAAAAGCTGCCAGGTGACGACGGAGGAAATAAATAAGAAGGCAATCGAAAAGACGGATTGTGTGTGCAAGCTTCTTGAACGGGAACATCGGACCAAACAAGCGGGTTTGGAGATCTTAGTTAACGCGACACCATTGCGACGAAGTTAACTGCGGTAAAATGGATCCATCGCTCGGAATGAAACTGGCAAACGAAATGCACTAGTCATCACCAAGTGGATATCGGCGTCCCATTAGACCAAGTGCAGTTTCCTGTGGGGCAGATTGTCAAGACCTCCACATGTTTGAGTGATACGCATATGGCTGCAGTTGCGTACTGAGAAACCTAAGCGCCACCCATATTTGACGGGTATGCGGCGAATTAGACAGGGCTGGACCATCGACCGAACTGGTTCCGCTTAGAAACCACAGCGCCAGATATGACGATGGAGTGAAAGATTGGTCGAACACACACGCACAACTCATGGATTGCGACTGTCACACTGCGCCGCGCAAGCCTCACGCTCACCCACTCGTTCGTTAACTCGTTGAGGCAGTAATCGTGATCACGTGCTCACTCATCACCATTGTTTTCGTCTCGCATACCAGATGCGTGTGATCGATACGTACACACGCACAAAAAGTTGTGGTGACCAATATAGGCGCGAACAGATTGAGAGAAAGTGGCGGCAACACTTGATGTGTAACATTCACGCAGTTGTACCGGGGCCTGGCCTTGTCTCTACCGCTGCGCACATGTGCACGCTTGCGCAAGCCAGGTGAGGTCCAAGCACACGACTGTGCGCCCGCCCACCGCGCGTGCGCCGTCTCAACATAGGGATTACATCAACTCAACGTGCCACCGCCATGCATGCAATATGGCCGTGCGCACTCAGGATAAGGTCAAGATGAGCAGACCATACACACTCGCAAGGCAGCCAGATAAAAGCCACCATCAGTCATGACAGGAGTCGCGCTGAGCATAGCAAACACAAATAGTGGCTACGGCCTGCTTCCGTCACGAACCAGCACTACATTGGCCTCAAAAAGCCATCAGCAATACGCCAGTACGGACAATGCTGCCGCGCAACCAACACCGGTCGCAGGTGGGCTGAAAATACTACGAGGCTCGAACCCACGCATTGGGATTACGAGCAGGCTAGTGATCCTTAAGGCTAAGGACAGGCCATCGACCCAAATAGATGCTTTCGCCGAGCCAACGCTTCGCTGCAACGCGACCGTCAGGAGTCGCGTGCGAGGCCGTCCGCACTCATGAGGATCCGAAGCGGTGACTTGTGGATCGCAAGACAGACGCCCTAGATTAATCTGCCATCGGCAGACTGTCGGTCCAAAAGCGATGGTTTTATGTGCAACAACCATCACCGGAGTGGCAACAAACGCTCTGGCCTCGTCACCTGAGTGGTTCAGGCCTAAACGATGCGGTGCAAAAAGAGTGTGGCGTTCGGCTCTAACGGAGAAATAACAGCGAATCGCGATAGCCTTTGTTAAAACAAATAATGAATCGATGTTGTTACGACTACTTTGGAGAATTCTGAAGAGGAATTCGCGATACCGTCTTATTTCTATTACAAGTGCAAGGGCCAGCCAGATGGGGCGTTAGATACAGGATAAGCAAAGATTGCATCCATGGATTAAAGCAGATGGGCCCGAGAGACTCAGACCTACAACAACAAAGGCGGCAACTCTAATTAGCCTCATGAAGTGGAGAGGAGACTTAGGCGTAACGGTTGATGAAGCATTGTCTGGCAGAGCAAGCTCAGCACCAACTAGGTGTGCCAGGCGTCCAACACAAGTTTCAACTACGATGGACGAGGATGTGTGCAATTTTCCAAAGGAAAAATGAAATATACAATTAAAAAAGAATAACCTTTTATCAACATCTCAATAGTCCATCTAAAAATATAAATTGATTCAATGAAAAAGTATCGTGTACGTGAGTGTGAAGTGAAAAAGTTTGATAGTTACTATCCTCAAGCGGCGTGCTTGAAAGCGAGCGCGCATTGGGATAGAGGGATCAGAACATCAACTATTGAGCCCAACGTGGCTGAGCAAGCCGGTAGCCGAGCGGGAAGTCCGTCATACCAAGGATTGTCGACGTTGAAAAAAGGAGCGAAGAGGCTACGCAACGAGAGATGAGACAGTGTAGGGAAGCATAGATTGAATGAGTGGAATCACAAAACACCGGTCAAGTGGAAAAGAACGTCGGTACAAAGAGCAAGAATGAGAAGTGATCAATCAAGAAGGCAATAAACATCGTACATAAACGTGACAGTTCGATAAGGTTGGGGATGGAAGGCGGACACACGAAGCGAGCTGTAAAGCAGAAAGCAATCGGCAGTGAGGACAGGACGACTTGGAAATATTAGACGAACGGAGGTTACGTAAGAGATCAACAGCCATCAAGTGTGAGAATCCCAGTCGGGAAAACTGAACGCAAAAAGTGAAAGACCGTGAGCGCGCGGTCGCGGAAGTCATTGAGCTCCGTCAAGCACAAAGACAAGTATGGTGGAGGGAGAGGCGAACATTCCATGGAAATCAGTCGGAACAAGCCGAAATGTGAAGATGACGAGAACGCGGAGTAAGAGATAGCAGGTTAAAAAAGAAGTATCGGGAAATCACACACCGCGTAATAGTGATGACAAGCGATGAAAAGTAAAGTCAAAAGATGAACAAGCGGTAACACAAGTGTGGTGATGAATCGATCGGTATATTAAGAAGACAGTGAGTTGGGGGTGTAGGAGGGAGGGAATCGCGAATGCACAAAAGGATGGTATTCGCTATTAAATGAGTCCCTTTGTGTGTATGTGTGCGCACATGAAAGGCAGTGAATGTATGCGATGAAGAACGGAGGATTTCGCAACGCGATAAGCGCACATGTGGCGGAAGGCTAACACCAAGTCAGTGGGTCATGTACAGTGTGGTATGTGGCCGCGTACAAGTAAGAGGGAGAGAGACAAGGTACACTTGGGATGTGAAAGAAGCACAGAACGCAAGTGGCTAAAAGTAAGTCATGGGACAGAGAGAATAAAATAAGCAAGCCAGCAGAGGCACTTGCGAACACCACATCAAGGAGCGTATGAAAGAGCATTGGTGCGCGGCTGGTTTAAATGACAACCTTGCACCTTTTGCACCCCATCGGCATCTTCTATACATGGAGAGGAAGATAGGAATGGAGAGTGACGGAATTCTTCTCGGGACGTAGGCAAGAATCCGCATACAGTCGATTGTATGTAATCAGCTGATTAATTGTGAAGGACACTGCAACACGAAGAAGAGGTAAATAGGGGGTACATTTCGTTAAATGGTGTGGTTGAAATATGACGGGGCATAATCGTCCCAGTACATAAAGACAGGTAGCTATTTCAAGAGAACCAGAGGAATGATCAAGCCAAACAGAGCAGAGATTGTGATCCCTTATTCCCAGCGGTCCAGTGAACTGTTAGCCAAAAGGATACCACAGGAGGGGGCGACCACCATACCAAAACGGGGAAGTCCTACGCGACCGGAGACAAGAAAAACAACATATGCCTACGAGCAGTGTTTGAACTTGCGCACACCACCCAATTCATTGCCGAACAAGACAGCATTACGGAACAATGCATTGAAATGACAGCAATGAACGAGGCAGTAGTGTCATGGATAGCTTCATGAGTGGAAGAAGAGGATCGTCGATAGAATCTGTCTTCGATTGTACCCAAGTTGCTATCAGTGAGGTACACATGAAAACACTCTTCTGATGTCGTGGGGGTTCACTGAAACACGACAGAGTAGGCTGCTTTAGCTTTCCCGTTTAGAGTGACGTGGACGCCTCGAGTAATAGAGTGGATATCACCAGCATAGCGAGAACGCGATCATCGTCGCCAGACTATGAGCCAGATAGTTGAAGTTAGGTCACAAAGCAAATCTGTCGCATGCGTCGTCTGTTGACCGATTTGAGACAGAGCACAAGCATTGGAGGATCCAATGTGCAATAAGACCGCTAGTTTGAATTTTGTAAACACATTTGTAGTATAGGTAGCATCAACAGAAAGCCACATCGACGGTTCGCTGCCATGTGGCCACCACCAGCCGTGCGCAAGCTAGCGGTACTGCGGCATCATTCGTACCTATGTAGATCCAAATCGGCGGCCTTTAAATTATAAGGTGGACGCTTTATAGCGATCAGCTATCGGCAGACAGTTCGGGTAGCACAGTTGCACGTTGTTAGACAAGTAGGTGCGAGGAAAATTACAGGGAGGCGGAAAAAAATTAGATACCTACAATGGGATGGGCAAATCTGCCCAACTGTTTAAGCGCTCGCACCTTCTACCATAAAATCCACAACACAACTCTTAAAGTAGCCGGGTAAGTGGCTGTCGTAAGCAGCACTATCTGAGCGTAAGCGAGTTAGGAGCCACGTAGAAGATTTTATCAGAGAAAGAGCAGGCTGTGACTTACGTTCATACCAAACTGCCTGTCGATGGATAACTGTGGAATATTTGCCGTATGCACACCTTCAGAGAGTGGCGCTGCTGGCCAATCGTTGTGCAGTGCAGTTGGGGCTCCGGAGTTTCGATGAATGTATATGGTGGGATCTGATTCGAGGGCGGGAGTTACTCCTTGGCCTTGTTCTCTCGGGATATCCTGTTCAACCGAGACAGAATCCACCACAGATCGAGAGGGACGGATTGACATTCTGTTCTCGGCATACGGAGAGATGCGGTCAGTTGGGAGTTGATTATATCCACCGGAGTTGTCAAACGGTAGAACCATCGCGTTCGAATCCTGTAGATGATGAGGGTGATCGACAGTAGAGTCGCGTCTGAAAAGCACAGATTGTGGCCCATGCGCGTAGGGAACACCAGTAGCCGCAACGCCTCTTGGAACAACACTAGGGACACTGCCACTGATCAAGGACTGGTCACCGCCAGACCATGATGACACGATACCCGAGTCAACTGAGACTGTCGGTCGGCAAGAATTGCGTGATGATGGATGATGCTGGAGTTGGTCGCTAGCCCGGCTAAAGAGAGCAGAGTCAAAGCCGACAGGAGGATAAGTGTTTGGAGTGCAAGGTGGAGGATGCAGCGATGAAGCCAAGCGTTGGCAATAAAGTTTGAATGGTCTAACAATTTTAGACTCCAGACGGTTTGATTGAGAAGCGGGAGGACGACAATTCCGCGTTTTATATGCTTGCTGTTGCTCAAACTGTGAGAGCGGGTGCGGGGTATTCTGATAAGGCAAACTGTGATGCGCGAACACCGACGCGTCCGGAGTCTCGGTCCGAGTGCAGCGCGGTTGACGCGACACAAATGGTTCCGAAGGATAAGACAGTTGAGTGTGATGTTGATTGGATTCATACATCTGTGGAGTGAAATAGGAGGCACGGTATGCTTGTGACGGTTGAAACTGTTGGGTGTAGTCGGAGTGGCAAGCATTCATAGGCCACGCAGTGTTGGTGCATGAAAGTGGGAGATTCTGAAGGACAGGGGAGGAGATGGAGTGAAATGAGAGAGAGAGAGAGAGGCTAAATGGTGGTGGAACTCAAGCACGCAAGTTGGTAGTAAACAGAGACTACTAATGGAGAAATGTAAGGAATGGTCTCTGTTGAGCTAAGCACTTCTACTGAACCGTAGTGTGGACCCAGTTGAGATAGTGTACGCTGAAATGATAACAGAAAGTAACTACAACGGCGGCTGAAGGTGAAATCGTCGTGGACTACGCCACCGCGCCAAGGATGAGACTCTTTGCTCCACAATAGGCCGATCGTGAGTGCCCCGTCATCGGAGACGGAGAACACTACGGCGCTTCGTCGTGAGATCAACTGGTCAACAGGGGGACTTCACTCAACCAAGTCAAAAAGGGGGCGAACAACATAAGCCGTAATGATCAACCAGTCGATCTGTAAAAGGCTTGGTGTGGCCAGAGTGGGCAGTATGAGTTCAAAATACGACCCAGTGCGGAGTAGAAGGCTTTGGTGCAAAATGGTAGCTAGCTGACCTCAGCAACATCCACTCGATGCTTCCACTAGGTTGACCAAATATCATAAGATTCCAAAGGAAGCTTTCACTGATGCGTACAGTAATGTAAGCCACATTGCGGTGCCACATACATGTCATCTATGCAACCGACACTGGCAGTAACGGTGCGTGCCCAAACTCCTTCCGCAAGTTTACTGACAGAGGTGATAAAAACAGTGCGATAAGCGGTGGAGTGTCGGCCAAGTCGTGCGGTGCTACCTGGTCCCCACAATGTTATCGAGGCGTCTCTCTGCCCACGTACAAAGTGCGATGGAATCAGGCATGGATTGAGGTTGCGTGCAGCCCAAAGCACTGACAAGTGCATTGTCAAAAGACTTGTTTCTGTAACCCACTGAGGCAGTCGCTAAATGGATGATGTCGTGGAGTTCGACACAGCAAGACACATGTCGTAGGTGGACCAGTGATTCTGATGTATGGGTACCTTATAAGATAGGTTTAGGTAAGACAGAAGACAGGCGGGCAGAAGGTTCTCAGCATAGTGGTGGCCACGGTGCTGAGCATAGCGATGCAGTGTGCACTTTTGCATACGTTTGAGTGGTCAGTCCCGTTGGTCAACTATGATCCGAGCACCGAAGAGTGCGGCGGATCCAGTTGCCACGACTCACACCGCGTAAGAATAATAATAATAACACAAGTAGGACAGTCGGGTTGGGTGCAAATAGAATGTGGAGAAAATGGAAGCAAGAAGAAAATGCGTTAGACTAATCAGAATGGAACGAAAATTAACAACCAGATGCAAGAAACCGAATGTAGATACGCCATGAGTTCGTGACTGCGTCATGTCTAACAGGGTCTCCAACCATTGGCGTGGACCATCCCGAGGCCCCATCCAGCCTGACCAAGTCCCTCAGTCAATTTCTTCAAGCTTCTATGACATGCCATGGATTGGCCACCTCGAGATTTCGCCCAACTTGGTGCAACCAGGGCGTATAATACACACCAAGGAAGCCGATCAAGGGGGATACGGAGGACATGACCTAGCCAATGCAAGGGACTAAAATCTATCAAATTCCAGAGAGAGGCCCCAGAAGGCTTTTTGCCAAAACTAACTGGTGGGTTTCAGCATTACCCAATCGGTGTTCGACCAAACGTGAGCAATACTTCGCAAGCAGTGTCGTGTCGATAATGGGATAAAGCGATGCGGTCTAGCAATATGATAAAACTGCAATAGGGGATAGTATGGCGGGATGTTAAGAGAAGTGATCGATTGGGGACAGACAACAGGAAAATAAAACCTGTGAACGCGGCATTAACGGCCGAATGGGAAGGTAAGAAGGTGTGGTCGAATCGAACACCTACGTCGGAAGTCGACTTAAGAGAGAAGAGACGCGGCTCGAAATTATGACCGGTGTCTGATGCAAAGTGGAATGAGGTTGTGAAGCGAAGTGCTAAACGATTCTTCGTCATTATCTACAATTCCAGATAAGGTAATATGATTGTACGAAATGCACTGAAGAGGAATAACTAATTATCGGTCGGCAAGTTATCTTACGAAAGAAGCGTCGCGTACGCCCACCCAAGAATTGAGAATCAAGGAAGCGGTAAATTATGCTTACGACTGGGCAAATGGTTGCGAGGTGGATCGGTTCATGAGTTATCAGTCAAAGCATTTTTGAGTTAGCAGCATTTAAGCATGACGGTGATCGAACTGGACTACAAAAATTTTTCACATGCGGATCGATGTGTGGTAAAACATACGCACACACGTGTAGAGTTGCGTCCACAAGCCTGTTGGCTTAAAAGATCGATCAACTAACTGTTCGGATAGATGCGCGTAGAGACACGCAAGGATATCACCCCGAAAGGTGGTTAACAGACCAACGAATTAACGAGAGCAAGACTCAGGGCCTGCAAAGGTATGGATCCGAAAACTGGTTCGTCAAGTAAAAAGAAGGCGGGTTCATCTGCGTCAAAGGAAGCGCGGAACACGCAGGTGTACGTAAGGGTCACATTTGCACCCATGCAGTGAGCAGTAATGCATGTTCGGATTGTTGGCCTTCTAGAGCACGCTCCAGAAGACGGAAGTGTTCTTTCATACAATTCGCTTGTTCCAGTCGCCACCAATGCATAGTGAGATGTGTATACCAGGGGATACGTACAATGTGTCGATGCGAGGCATCACGTGATCGCTGCAGGTCAACTGTAGATATACGACGCGCAACCCGCGAGTTTGATCGGTGGTGTTGAAAGTGGAAGCCCCGAATCGAGCCTGGCTGCTGACGTTGCGTGCACCGCATGATCACAAGCCTTTGCAACAAAAGAGTGGGAACTGAATATGCTGCGGGAGAAAAAAAAGCCACAAGGAAAGGGCGAATGAACCCCCCGAGAGATAGGAAGCCTATAGTGATGAATTTACTCCGCGCGATTTGTGTAGAATATCACAGAGAGCTATGACAACTAGAGGATTCAAGCTTTATACCGCGAGGCAAACTCGTGTCGGAGTTTCGCTAGTCACACGGTGCCCAACCGGTAGATCTAATCAAGCTAGCTACATTGCACAGCTGCGTCACGACAGTCAATTTGTGAGAGCATGTCTGATTCGGCACAAGAGTGGTGATGATGGGGCCAGAGGACGCACGCAGCCAAAGCGGCGGCATCCAACCGCCCATACAACCAAGATTGATTGATCACGTGGTGGTGTGCATTCGGTTAAACTCCTCTTGTGGGTCTCTTATGACGGCAGTAGCGGCAGAAGTTGGCCGACTGTATAGACAAGTGGAACCTTGAGAGTCAATGAGGTTGGGTACTAATCGACCAACCGATTGAGCAGTATGATAGCCACATGGTTCAGATAAGCATATTGCTTCCAGGATCGCTAACTGTCGATATGTGCCAGGAGTAAGTTTAGAACAGCAAGATGCACGAAGCGCTCTACCATGACAGATGTGACTGATACAGGTAGATTCGGTGGACGAATTGGAGCTAAAGTCAGAGACAGTCTGGGGACAAATAAACAACAGCAATGTCAAAGTGTGTACGAGACGAAGGTCAATTTCATCTAAGTGACGTGGAGCCGATGGAGAACGGAATGCATTTACAAGGAACGTGTACTCAAATTTAATGGGCGATAACAGCATGGTGCAACGAAAAAGGATGTTATTGCTCTGATTTCCGCTAAAGTTAACTAAATGATAAGAATCCGACCAAGGTGTTGTGGAGCAGACCACCGAGGTTGGTTGTGATACAAGCATGAACAGCCGAACACCTGTTCGACCAGAAGTTACTAGTGTATGGTCGGGAAAGTGCAATGCTAGCCCTCCTCATGTGAACGAGGAGGAACGGAGTGGCTGACACTTTAAAGAGAATCGTTTGTAGGGAACTAGGGACTTAAGAGCCGTAGTCTGACAAATAGTTGTCGGTCACCGAGTTTAACAGGCTCAAGTGCGAATTGCGGCCATGAAACGCTTAAATTAGAGCATAGCTTGAAAACAGTCATGAATAGCATGGGAAACCGCTGCACGCTTGCACCGTTCACGGTCTGTTACGAGGTCAGAGCAAAGCCTAAGAGCTCAATGTAAATCGCATGAGTTACCACAAATCACGAGTAGTGTGGGGAAAAAGTGGACTCGGTCCAAAAAGAAATACGTCCACAACGCAACCCCGCTTTCCATCTGTGGGGCAAAGTAGTCAGAGCAAGACTGGAGTAGATGACACTCTGTAGAACTCCACCTAAGACCACAGATATCAACCTGATGCGACGTGTGACAAAATCGTCTTTACAAATCTAAAATGCGTCACCTACGAATAATGAATTCCAACAAGCAGGTCCAGAGTACTGAAACGCTTAGCTGTGTTTTCAGTGAATAACATTATCTTAGACTTCCATTTGAATGTGTCTACACAATGAAGTTACACAAAGCGGAATAGCTGTTTGACAGAATTGAGCACCGGACATCTTCTGGAGAGCCAAGAGGATGAGATTCCAACCGGAAAGCGACGCTTACAGTGAATTCACACGCTAGACCTTCTCATGAAGATGAACAGGGGGAAATATAACAACGGACAACCTAGACTAATGATGCCTTCGTCGCCAAATACCTGATGGGAGTACAGGTGCACGTGATGATGCACGTGAGTCGATAAAGTTGCGCAAGCGGAAGCTGTTTGACGGGGCGCGATTCAAGACAGAACTCAGTTGAGTGGAGTACCTAGCAAGTACGGGAACTGACATGACTACCGTGCACTACGCCATTCGGGTGAATAGCCACTGGGTAGATCAAGTTGGTGTGGAAAAGTGATGGCCTACATCTAAGAAGAGGACAGCAGCATGGCTGTGGCCGCATTCAGTAACGTGTGCTTTGAAGTCAGTACCTTCTTCCAAATGTACAGTTCGTCTCCTCATCCACTACAGTAGACTACAATACAGAGTAGTACATTGTTCTACAAAGTCGCGTGAGTTGCCAACTTCCGATATCGCCTAGACTGGAGACTGACTTT